CACAGCTGAGCCTCGCATTTTCTGAGTGAGAATTCGGTCTGCCGTTTGTTTCTATTTTGAAGGACAACCACGCAATGATTAGGGGGATGTGACAGTGTTCACTGAGGAGTGAGGCCTAAAACACGAAAGCAGAGTATTTCTGGTGCTGCCACGTCATGGCCAGTTCCTGTTCTAACCTCATCCTACACTCGGAACAGAATCAACCCCGAGGCCAATGAGCCCCAATTTCAACTTCTTAATAAGCCCACCCCCCAAAAAAAACAGTTCTCCCTTCTCCAAATGAACAGCTACTCCGTGAAGACAAGGAGAGAAGTTTCCACGACTTAGGGATGTGTTTCTGATCTCCACCTGAGAACATGACAGGTTTATCATAAAGGGCATGTCCCCCGGCAGTCGCCTCTCCTTTTCGCCCTGGTGAAAGGTGGACATTCTTGGTGCTGGACGAAATACCCAATTAACCTAGGTGCACCTGAACCCACGCCCGGCGCCCAGTGTGTTTCCAGGCCGAAAGGAAAACTGCTCTCTACCTAATTGGAACTTCTGGTTTTATGGCGTATCCTGGAGTTTTTACTTAGTTTTTATTTTCACTGTTTCCCAGGGTTAATGGCATTTTCTGTAAGTGTCTGCGTTAGCCCACTCTGTAGAAGCCCTGGCGGTTTGCAAATCCAAGAGCTTTAAACGAAGCCACCGACATGGAAATTGTATTTGCTGTAAAGGAAGCCATTATGAGTTACTAGAAACTGAATCAAAAGTTTATCATGAAGAGGTGATTACTTATTTCGGAGTTTTACTTCGTCAGATACTCATCCTGCCTTCTTGGGCCCCGAATTGCAAAAAGGACCCTGGTCTTGCTGGAACCTGCCAACAACCAAGTTAGGCTGCTTCCTGAACACACGTCCTAGATTGGCGTGGCCTCGGGTTTTGTCTAATCCTCTCAAAGGCCCTTTTAATGGATGTTTCAACACAACGACTTCTCTGTGTGGCCGCCTCTAGGAAGCCCCTTCACAGCGAAAGCAGCGAGTTCACATCCTGTGCGAATCTTCGGGGCTGCGTCTTATGAAAAACGCCACGGCCTTTGCAGAGGAGAACAGAATGTGTACACAGTCTGGTCGAGCAAATGAACGTCCATGAGGCCAGCACAAAAGAAATCCCCGATCTCTAACCTCGCAGCGAAATCGCCACAGACAAAGATCACAGCGATACGGGAGCACTAAACTGGAAGAGTCGGGAAACCACAGCGGAATCTGCTCCTGCCTATGCCTGTCCTGGGGGAGGGAGGAGGCGTTTCCCATTCGGCGACCTGGGGCCAGCGTCAGTGTGAACTGCTCCCAGGAGCACAGGTCTCCTCTCTGCTGCACAGGCAGCCTTATACCGACGGCATCCTTAAAACAAATAGCCACACGTCCGAAGTGGACAGGGTCGTGCTGTCTGACCAGGTTACCACATCGCTTCTCTGAGAGGCACAGGTGTGCACCCTCTTGAATGGATGGAGGGGGTATTTGTTTTGTTCTGAGACATGTTAGGAGTGAGTGGCACCCAAAAAGACCCTGTTTGTTCTCAAAATTGACTCTGGGGTCTGCAGAGCCTCACCTTGCCAGCCCAATTGGCCCTCACCCTCGGACATAAGTGGGGTGCACAGGGTTCGGACATGCACCCTCCTGGCTGTGTTGTCTTTTCACCAGCTACCTGAGGAACACTCAGTCAACAAAGAGCTCCAGCGGAAGGAGACCAGAGGTGACATTAGTGTAAGCCCTGGTCTCCTGGTGCGGCGCGGGAGGAAGAGTTGAGAATAAAACCCTGCTCGTTGGAGCGTGCCAGCAGACTAAGGACTCTTTTTAGTCCATTTATTAAGCGCTGGTCGGAAGAGTCTCGTCTTGGAGATCTGTCTGTGAGTAGTCCTCAGGCACTCCCCTGCTGTAAGGAGGAAAACAATATTTTGCTTAGAGAAACAAAATAGAAATTCTCCTTTAAAATAAAATTTTAATTCACTCGTGATCATCGCATGAGCTCTCAGGAAAAGCTGTTGCTTCCACCAAATTCGGCCACGTGCAATAATTGCGAGACGTTAACGCTAAGTGATTCCAGCAACTCCTGCTCAGCACAGCCGTGATTTGCGAGTTTTCCTCGCCCTGTCTCCTCTGAGAAGGCCGTGACTGGGAGCAATTACGAGGAGGTGAGCGATCGCGCCACTCCTCATTCCGTCCACCAGACACCGACGTCGTGCAGAGAGGGCCTGTGACCTGGCCTTTCACCAGCCTTTCTCCTTCAGAACGTCGCTCTCGCTCAGGCTGGACGGCCGGTGAGAGGCTCTGCTGCCTTTGCCCAATAACAGGTGAAATTCTGGTTTTAAAATAATAGTTTTTGTGAAAAACAAATAATATTAGTGACAAAAGTCAAAATAAGTCAGCCTACATTTAAATGGAAGAAACTATATTCCTGTAATTTTTTTTCCCCCCCAAAAAAAAGAATTTCTTAAAACAAAGATTACCCAGAAAATGTAGTTTTTTGAGCTCGTCTACGTGAAGTCCTCGAGAATCACTGCCTATTTCAGAGACCTGAGAGCCAGGGGGACCCCCGCACGTGGCTCAGGTGTGTGGTGGCCAGGCGGGACCGTATCCAGCCAGCAGCCTCAGGTTGAGCACTCCCGAGTCCCTTTGGAGCGATGCCTCCGTTTCCCTTAGAGGTGAATCCGGGCAGCCGCGTCGCACACAGCCTGAGGTTTTATCGATGATCATACGATTGTATTTTCGTGTTGAAGCTTCTAACCCAGTGGACTTGGAGCAATCAGTGCCCCGGGAGACGAATGCTCGTATCAGGACCTTGGCATCAGCCAGGAAAAGTCCATTTGTTTTAGGAGAAGAAAAAGGCATGACATTCTGCACATTAAAATTGATTATTTCATCAATAGGTTAATAGAAAACCAGGCTGCCAGTTCACTTCCTGCTTATACTTCCATACAGTAATAGGAGACCAGGGCATGAAAAATGCAAGGCATAGCGAGGGCCAGAGAGGGTTTTCCATGGCGCTTCCCCCTCCTGCGCCCTGACCACACTGTGCCTATTTATATGTAAATGTTGCCGGCAGAGGCTAGTTTTCCATGAGGAGCAGGGCTCTCTGACTGCTACTTTCTGGAACTTGTGAATTATGGGCCAAGATGCCAGGACTTCAGCTATTGAAATAATTAAGGGCACAGCAAAAGTGTCCGTTACCCTGAGGAACCTGGTAATCCTCCGCTGAACGTCTCTAAAGGAAACATTTGAAAACTGGCTAGTTCGGTTCCTTGTAGGCATGACGTGTGTACTGGTGGGTACCTGAAGGCCCTTTCCCAGGTGTGCTGTTCCCTGGGACGGGTACCTTATCGATGCCTTGAGGATGTAAGATGAGGGACACGTCTCCACCCATGAAAAAATTAAATTTAGACCCATACACTGTAGACGCCTACTCGTTTTGAGATTGCATTTATTATTATTTCTTGTTTGGAAGCAACCAAGTCATTCTTAGGTGTTTAGTTAAAATTTAACTGTTTCTCTTTAAATCAGGTGACAAGTAAATGACAGCTAGTTCTTTTTCTCACCATTATATAAAATTTGCTTCTGAATACACAGAACTGTGCTGCTTCAGAATTGCATCTGCTTCCTTCAATGTCCACATTTTGTGCATGTATTTTCTGTCATCACTCCAAAGAAACCCAATACGCACCCAGGCACTGGGGGTTCGCTTCCGCAGCAGAACTGGTCCCGGAGACCTAGTCCTCCCCCAGGTCATTGAACTGGGCACACCGGAGCCTACACCACACTCTTTGAGGTAAACCCCACCGCAGGCAGGAGCAGCCAACCCGTCCTAAGTGAGGAGCGGGTGGGCGTGAGAGAGCTGTCCCCTGCCCAGTGCAGGCCTCGTTTCTGTGCTGTGAGCGTCAAGACTCCTGTGCAAATGCAGGCACCTGCCTCCGCAGGTGTGCACGGTCATCCAAAGAGCCTCATGGGAGGGCTGGCCAGTTTCTCTTCCCGGCTGCGGACATGGAGAGAGGCAGGTGGTCTGGTTAGGGTCCTTCACGGGTCTCACGTCCTGATTCCGGGGGGCGGTGCAGGGGGTGAGGCTGATGAACTGAGACTGTCTCCCCAGAGGAGCATCGGGACCCCTCACCCCAACCAGTCACTGCACAGTGTCAGGTGTGGGGTCCGCCCGTGTTAGATTGGTTCTGCCTTTGACTTCCCAACCCAGGGTTCCTCCGTGGGTCACTTGCTCCTCTCTGGGTAACTTGGTCTTTGCTTTTTCTTTCTGATGCTTCCTCCAGTGAGCTGAGCGCTTAAGGAGGCACGTGTGCTCTTGGGGGTCCTGGGAGCTCCATCCAGAGCCCCCGGCGGCCCCGTAAGAAGGGCCTCCACCCTTCAGCAGCAGCCAGGTGGCAGCAGGGTTTTGCTGACATGATAACTGTCCAGATCCGAATGTGCTCATATGTCTGGTCGGGGAGGCGGGGGGGGGGGGTGGGGGGCTTCATCTTTTATCAGCTGAGTGTTAAGACCTCTGTCCGCAGCACACACAGGAACTGCCCATCACCAGGAGCTCTAGTTTGACATGCTGCCAGGTTTTGCCAAATCAGAGGGCTCATGGCTACTGCCATCATAGCTCCTTCGAAAGATGCCACCAGTCCCCAAGGAAAAGGCCAGCTTGGCACGGTTGGAAGTAGCCACGTGTAAAACCAGGGTGCCTGGCCTCCTTGCCTGGGCGTCTGTTTGATTCTGTGCAAACCTGATGACACTGGCAGGCATGCCTCTGTCCTGCCCAGGTTCCCTGTGCTACAGGCTGGCAGTGGGGGGTGGGGGTGGGGTGGGGGGGAGGGACCAGCGGGGACCCACCAGCACCCACCGCCCCTCCGGGAACAGATGGACGTGATGTCACGTGCTACTTTGACATTTCTTTTCTCCCCTTTTCATTTGATTTCTTCTCCTTTTTGTTTTCTGTCTTTCTCCCCCTCTCCCCTTTCTGCTCTCTGGATGCAGCCAAACGCAAAGCATGGAAACTAAACCGTGTTGGTAGCCTGCGAAATATATACAGCAGCAGCAGCACCAACACTGAAGGTAACGCCAGCGCCCACCCTTCCGCCAGCGCCCACCCTCCCACCCCCCCCCCCCCCCCCCCCCCAGACATGGAAATGCAGCCCGAAGCCGCATGCACCCTTATTGTGTTTGCAGACTCATTCCTGTGGTTTTTCCATCTTTTTGTTTGTGTGTTTTATTTTACCATTCATGTTCCTTTCAGCTTACTTAAATCCTGACCTTTCCCTTCAGTCATAGAGTGGTGATGTTTAAATTACTTCAGAAACCTATTTCCTCCTCTTTTTTCTTTTGCTTTATACATGTGGGCACTCAACGTAATATTTCCCAAGTTATTACAGTTTTTAAAAGTGTTAGTATCAGGTGTAATGATCTGTAGCCAAACACAATAGTGCGCCGTGACATTTAAGCAACAGTCTTAATTTGTTTTGTGGACGCATTCTCTGTAATGCTCCGCGCAGCTCTGATCCGGAGGCCCGGCCCGGGTCATTTGCATGGGCTGCTATTGCTTGTAAATTCGGTATATTGTTGTGTTTCTAAAGGTCGTCCGGTGCCAAAGTTCACAAATTGACTTGCGTTGCTTTTTTCCGCGAAGACAGCCGTCATTGCTTTTGTATAATAGCAGATTGAATTTCCCTCCCCACCTTCATTTGAACAACACAATTATAAATTGCCTTTTTTTATGATTACAAATGTCAGGGGTCAGAATTATTCTGATGCCAAGCAAGGGACCCCCTCCACCCTCAGCCCAAGCCCTCGCGCAGGGGGCCGGCGTACATTATGTGCGATGCAAAGCAGGTCACAATCCAGCGATCTCGGTATAATAGGGGGACATTTTTTTTCACTTAAGTGCGAGCCAAATGGGTCAAGTAATCGCGAGCCGGCGCCCTCACACTAATTGACTTATTTGGGGATGATTATAACTGTAATATTTTTCTTAATGTCACTGTTTTCTGGGCTGTTGATTTTAGCGATTGCCAGGCGGTGGCATTAAATCTCTTGTAAATTTTAAATTGCACGGTATTTCTGTAAACAAGTCCCCCTCTTCACATCCCAGTCATTAACCTCTGCTGATTTATATCGCTGCCCTTCTTTTCCTCCTTTCACAATTGCTCCGGTCTCGCCGCTGAAAGCCCTGCTCTCGGCCAGGAAAAAACAATGAATCTGGAAAACAAAACTACATCTTCCTGATGCCTTGTTAAAGACCTATTTTTTAATCATAATTTTTTTTTCATCCCTCAAGGGGGAATTGCCATCCGATAAGGTAGCCATGGAGCTTGCCCCCCGTGGTATCTTCTTTCAAAGCATTCGTTCAAGAAAGAGAAAACGAGAGAGAAATAATAGCATTTTAGCAACAGTCCCAACACCTACAGGACCAAGTATCTTCTTTTGTGCTATTTTAAAGGGTATTAAAATGCTCGTTCACTATTTTTTATTGTTAGTTTTTCAGCTGAAGGTACAAATCATTTCTCTTCACTGTGTCCTTATCAGATATGTTTTCTTTTGTATGTGTATGCATTTTCCACAACAAATTGGCTTATTGGCTCTCGGCCTTCAAAAATGAGTCATGACATTCGGTTTCACATGTAGTTGTATATAAAATTGGGGGGCAGGGAGGAGGCAGACACTCCCCCTGAGACTGCTGATGGGGCCCCTGGAGACACTGGTGGGCTGAAGTTCATGACAGGTGTGACGATTCGCAGAAGTGGGAACTTCTCAGCCTTGATCGATCAGGTAACCCACCCCTCTGCCTGCCCAAAGCCATGGGTGGGAAGGTACCGTGACACGTGCCTCTCTCTAAAATCTATAAATACCAAGTAACACTGCAAACTCAGAGGCTCCAAGGCAGCCCTAGGCCTATTGGAGGAAATAATGCCCCAGAGCCAGGCCTCCCTCACATTGTCTCCTCGTATCTGCTCAGTGTGCAGTTACATTTATGAACCTTCAGTTAAGCGACACGATCATTCTTCATTTAGTTTGAGTTTCTTTTAAGATTAATATCTGCACGCACACTGTCTCATTTCATACGGCCTTTAATAGTATGTTATGGAACTCATATAATTGCATAAAATAAATTATCAAAGGGCCTCTCTGATTGCCAGTCTCTGGATGTATGTCATCACATATTCTGTCTATAAAATGATTCTCTCTGGACATTCACATCCTGCGATTCTGACTGTTACTGTAACCCGAGGCCTCGAGTGTTGCACCAAATGGACCCCTCCCCAGATGGAGTATTTTTTAAAGTGGTCCACCCAGTACCCAGAAACACCAGTGGCTGCAGAGTGTCACTAAGAGCCAGGCCCTGTCCAAGGAGCCTGTCCACTGGTCGGCGTTGTCCTCGGTGCAGCCAGTGGGCAGGGGGGTGGGGGGGTCCTCATCCCCCTTTCCAGACGGGGGAGTTCAGCTCAGATCCTACGGGAGTGGCCTGGGGATGGGCAGGACCGAGACTGGAACCTGGTGGTCCCGATCCGAAGCTCTTTTTCTCTTATGACCACTCTGTTCTGGCCCTGGGACTACCTGTTGTTTATCTCCACAGTCCCCTGCCCACAGGTGTTGTGTTGTTCTGGGAAGTGGGGCGTTGGCAGGTCACTCGACTTTCTGCAGAACAAGCAGTAGGTTCCGGAGGCAGGACATGTGCCCAGATCACCACCTTCAGGACCCAGACCCCACGCTGCGTGTGTGGATGTCAAGCGTGGGTTCGAGCAAGTGATACCCAACTAATTAGGGAAACACACATACGAGCATAGAAAACAAACAGATATATTCTCTTTTGCTCTTTTTCTGTTCATTCGGGCTGATTATCCCTGATACCAATATGGAAACATAATTTGTATATATTACAGTGCACTAATTCTTAAATCTTTGTGACTTGGTAAAAATTCAGCTGTGAAATCTTTGTTCCTTCCATGAGATGCAACTCTGACATTTCCATCTCGGGAGCCCATGACGCGGGGCGGAAGGCACATCTATGGTGGGGTTTCCCAGTGCTTAGTCGCCTCCCGAGACCAGCATCAGAAATGCCCGCATCCGTGGTAAACGCTTTTCTATGAAAGAACCAAGAGAACTGGGCCGAAGGGTGGACGTTGTGCAGAAGGAGCCGTGGGAGGGAGGCCTGTGGGAGGGTGGTGAGCACACTGCCCCCACCCCGCGTGGCTGCGGGGCCACCGGCAGGCGGAAGAGCAGCGCTGCGAGTTGGGTGAGCAGATGGACTCTCTGCTCACAGAGGAAAGCATCTTCAGTGCGTGTCAGGCGTAAATGGGTTCAGGAAAGATGCACTGGGAACAGGGGCATCTCTTGGGGTGTCACGCCACCCACATTATAGTTGACACCTACACCCAAGTGTCCCCATTCGGCCCAGTCCAGGGAGGTCCGTTTCTGTGGAGCTGGGACTTGCCCCAGAGACAGGCCTTTGAAATCTCTGTTTTGGGTGCCTCCCTGCCACCGCCACAGAGATGGCCTGGGGTCCCCGGACACTGTGTCCCAAACAGGCCTTGCCATGGAGAGTCGATTCTTTGGAGAACAGCTGTGGCGGGCACGGCTGCGGGCTTCATGCCAAGTCAGTGCCCACACCTCTTCCCCCACTGGGTAGCCAAGACGTGCCTGTTCACCTGAGCAAAGGTGCCCAGGCCTTTAAGAAGGCAGCTACCGGTGACAGCCCGCCCACTGCCCAGTGCTCCAGTCACAGCTCGGAGACCTCACTCGCTCAGGTTGAGTTCCACAAATCCCAGCCGTGCTCACGCGCTCACGCCTGAGTGGAAAGCCCACTGGGGCCTGGGCTCCTCTCCCGACTGGACGCTGGGTCTGAGCAGGTGGAGAGGGGAAGGGCTGGCAGGCAGAGATCCGATGCAGAGCGAGGGAAGGTGTGTCCCAAAGGGCCCAGGTGCCCTGGGCTTCGTGGAGAATGAAGCTGCCTTTGACGCAGGGCTCAGCACGGGCTCCACGGCTGTGACACCTGGCAGGAGCCGTTTCCCAGCATCCTGCCCACTGACTCTCCAGGTACCCCTGTGCATCCTCCACGTTTACAAAAGGAGAAAACAAGGCAGGGAGACGGGCAGTCAGGGGCCCCAGGAAAACACGTGAGGATCAGGCCAGGCCAGGCACGGGGGTCAGAGCCGCCACCCGAACCCGGCCGTGGGCTCAGCAGCGAGCATGGAGCACGTTTAGGCTTGAGCACCTTTGGGGCTGAGACACCAGGCAGACAGCAGCTCTTGCCGAGTGGGGGTGACCGTCGAGCTGTCCTTCTGCGGAACTGCCTGCAGGGTGTGAGCCCAGCCCCCACCCAGGTGTCCCAGCCGCCTTCCCAAGGCCGCGCCTGCCTGTTGGGCTGCCTTCCACAACCCGACAGGGTTCCTCTTCACTCACTCATTTCATTCTTTCAGACTGTGGTTCTTAAGAAATTTGGCAAACCTTGTGCTTGTGAGTGGCCTTGTGGTTTCGAGCCCAGACCCCTAAGACAGGCGGTCTTGGTCCAGTTCTCACATCACCATCTCTTCACCTTGAAGCGCACTCTCTGTACCTTGGTTTCCCCATCTGTAAACTAGGGAGATGACGCCTGCAGCAGAGGTTGTGATGACAGGTCTGGAGTCACTCTCCAGAGGCATGTAACACAGCGCCTCCTGCTGGCCACTAGTAGTACTTACCTCATGCCAGGAGTGCCACAAATTCCTGTCACTCAAACATTTGAGCATCATTTACGTAACAGAAGCAAATTCAACACAAAATGTCCTAAAGTAGTAAGAGGGGGATTTAAAAGTGAGCTCTTTCCCCCCGGACTTTTAAATCTATCCTTCCCAGCTCCATTTACTGTCCTGAACAGAATCGTCAGAGTGGACATTGGCTCTGGACTAACACAGGCCTGGATCGATCCCAGCTCTGCATTTGGGTGGTTACTGGGTCTCACCTTCCCCCGCCCGGGGTCCTTTCTCTAAAAAGGAGACACTGAAACCTACCTGGAAGCGTAACTGAAGAAGCTGAGTTGAGCCGGCAGAGCCCCTGCCAGAACTGGCACAGGTGACAGTGAC